CAACACCTAGACCTGTAAAAATAAAACTTCTAGCCGGGCATACCCTAAAAGTAAAGTTGTATGTGACAGCTGTATATCCTGTACTATGTCATACCTGTAAGAACTCGGGAATCTTCTTCGCATCGTGCACTATCATACGCTCGGCGGCACCAGCGCTCGCACGACTAACCGTTGGCGTGATAGGGCAACTGATTGGCATAGAGTACACATGGGATGAGTGAATGCACCGGAAAAGTAGGGATGTAGGCATGGGGCTATAGTAGGTAAGGAAGCATGTACAATGGGTATAAGAGACCAACAAGTGATAAGTAGGGATGTAGGTATGGAACTATAGTAGGTAAGGAAGCATGTACAATTGGTATAAGAGACCAACAAGTGATAAGTAGGGAAAGCGCTTGCACCATTAATATAGGGATTCGGCGAGTGCAATATACATATACCATTGATAGAAGAGTACCAATATGGCAGGAAAACATGTGGTGGAGACCACTCATTCGAGAGACTCGAAGAATGTAGTTGTAGGTATGAACATCGTGTGCGCTCGTTATTAAGACACCATCGGTGATGACACCATTATGTATTGCTTTTGTGCTGTATAAAAGGCTACAACACAAACAGGTTACAGCACATACATTTGCGTTGCGTTACGGATATTCTACACCCAGTAACACTCCCACTAACCACGTCTAAGTACAACCGTGCGATGTATGTAGACGGTTGTCACACGGCTCTGTGTGATCTTGGAACATACAGTACCAGTACCCACACCAGCAGCACCCATGACGGTAGCAAAGCGTAGCGTTGCGCTTCTGCTTTGTTATGCAGGGACAGTATGGTATACCCCACTGCCCACTGTATAGGTATAACACATGTACTTGTAGCCTTATGGGCCTACCTACAAACACAGAACAGTACAATACACCGAGATGTATATAGGTGCTCAACCAAATGTGGGGTACTGTGCATATATAGCAATAGTACCTGTTTCTCCTGCATGTGACGACACCAGAAGCACCCAAGAAGTACGCTGAGCGTAGCACTGCTCCCATATTCATTGGATCTGTGACCTGATCTAACACGACCCACAGAGGTGGTCTATAAATTGAATGGTAGGTAAACGCATGATCTAAAATCAAATATATACCTGGGCCCATAAACTAATAATCACTGTTGCCAGCTTGAGTATGAGCTTCTATTAAAAGATTTGTGTGTTGAATAGCGTTTGATTTACGATATCACAATCAGTATATATGTCTATATATATATATATATATATATTATATATATGTTATATATATATATATATATATATATATATATATATATATATATATGTGTGTGTGTGTGTGTCG